GGAATAGAACTTTAAAGATCGAGATTAGCAAATTAGCCAACAGGAAAAGCCAAAGAGCCAATTAACCTCCTCCTCCTGAAAAGACCGTGGCTGCTCTGGGGCTCCAGGCTCTCTGAGGCAGCTGAAACGTACCTCCCTAAAACTTCCAGCTGAAGCTGCCTCGTTCCTTCAAGCTCCACAGTCGCTGGGAATGTTTGCTTTGTATGTCACTTCCTTTGCCACTCGAGTGTGGAAATCATTGTGTTGCTCTGAAATGGTTGCCATGGGAACATCTCCACCTAGTCATTATCTACTCAGCCTACTGATTACATTAAACCAGGAGACAGAGAGGTACAAGGGCGCTGTAGCCACCTGTTCTAGAGAAAATTGTGATCGCTTATGCGACATTTTTGCCTCTGTGGCCACACATTTCTCAGAACATTGTCTCCGTTTTCTCTTCTCTCATTTCCCTCCAGAGTTAGGGAATGACATAAATTTGTAGGACGGTGGCATTGGGATAACTGAGTCCTTACATTCCCAATCCTCCTGCCCTCCTCCGGGTCCCCGTTTTCGTATCTCACACAGAATAAAAATAATTGTCATTCTTTTCTCTCCCTCTCTTCTGCCCCTCCATGCTTAGGCATAAGGATAATCCTCTTCTTTAAAGGTCTATGATTCCTGAGCCCACACAAAGGTGCTGAAGCTACATTTTTTCTGTTTCTTATCTAGAGAAGCTTCTCAAAATTCACACAAATGCCTCTTTTCTAAGTTATATAAAATATAAATAGTAAATGAAACTGGCTGTCAACAGGTAACTATATCTGACATATTTCTCAGTAAAGAAATGCATGGGTATGGATGCGTTTCTTATGAGGAGGATTTCAGATCTTTATTCCTGGATTGAAAGTGACATTTAGGGGCACCTGGGTGGCTCAGTGGGTTAAGCCGCTGCCTTCGGCTCAGGTCATGATCCCAGGTCCTGGGTTCGAGCCCCACATCGGGCTTTCTGCTCAGCAGGGAGCCTGCTTCCTCCTCTCTCTCTGCCTGCTTCTCTGCCTACTTGTGATTTCTCTCTGTCAAATAAATAAATAAAATCTTTAAAAAAAAAAAAAAGAAAGTGACATTTATGAGGTGTTGTCTTGAAATAAATTTTTTTTGGTAGGAAAAACTTTAAAAAACCATTGGCCTTGTAATTATTGTCTAAACCAGAATACTTAGGGAATGAAAATGGCATTAATAAGTTTGCCTAGACAACAGGTACAAATTTGACCCCTTATATGTAGACAAGTACATAGGCATGGTAGTACCATGTCTTCAAAAAATAGGGGGAAAGAGATACCTCTTCCAGAGCAATGTTTGTTCAGTTGGAAATTGTAACTGAGGAATTTAAAGTCTGAATGAGCAAGGAAGTTCCCTTTCTGTTTACACTTCTATCTCATGTAAATTAAGTCAATGTGAGTCCATTCTTGAAAGTAAAGTGATGGCGCTGGGGATTGGGAAAAAAAATGACATTAACAAAGGAAAATAGACCAAGGTGAATGTATCTATGGAGATGTCATAAACTTTTAACTTCGTTTAAAAAACTGACTTAAGGATTAGTCACTCTTTTCTGTTAAGGGTCATACAGTTAAGTATTTTTGGCTTTGTGGGTCATATGGTCTTTCTTGGAAAGTAGCTGTAGATGATATGTAAATGAAGGGCATGGCTGTTTGCCAAAAAAATCTTATTTATGAGACAGGGATGGGTGGGAGCATAGATTACTGCATTGGTTTTCATTGGCTCATTCTCCTTCTAGTTATCTGTTTTAATGTCTACAAGTTTTGTTCTGACAGAAAGATATTTTAGATACTAATTCTGACATCTTGTTCTGCTATGGCAGATTGGGGCAGTAGCTGAGAGCGCCAATGAAGAAGTGCAATGGACCTTACTATTCAATGTACATTTTTGTTAGTCATGTTCCAGCCATTCAAGACATATGCTGAAGTGGGGGGTAGAAGGTGAACTTCCTGCTACATTTTGGACAGGGAGTGGCAGCCACGTGGATTTCACTAAGTGTTTTAGAAGAAGAGCAGCTGGGATGCAGACATAGGGGAGAGAGGCTCTGGTGATTTGGTTTTTCCTATAAATGGTCTTTTTAAAAAAGTCCTACCCAGATTCTAGCTTGGCAGAGTGGGGAAAACCGCAAGCTCCTGAGGAAAATAAAGTCTTTAGTCTCTGCCTATACTTGAAAAAAAATGACCCCCAATGAAGGTAAATGATACAACAAATCAATTTAAACTAGTCCAGTACTTACTATGTAGAACTGGAATCAGTTGGTAAAAATAAAAGTTTTAGAAGAAAGTCTTAAAATGTTCCTTCGGAGTTCATCTTTATATCTTTATAGAATTATACTTAAAATGTTTCCTTTTAGGCAGGAAGCATATGTTAACAACTCAGGCAGGCAAATCTCAACAAGAACACGAATGACTTTAAAGAGAATTAAATAGTATCTCTATTTAAATATTCTATCTTAAGTCACTGTATGGAACACAGACCCACACCTGCTGCTACCTGGTGACAAGCTGCTGTAATTGCAGGCTAATCTAGAAACTGGCGAGTGACCACAGTCCTGTTATTGATTCTGTTTTCAACTCTCTAACAAGGTACAGCAGGCATTTGACAAATGAATGGAAAGTACCACAGACAAGGAAAAATCTCAGAGGGCTTCAGTCCTATCTGAGTTGTTGAGCAAAATATAGGTGATGACAGATGTTGTAATCATTTAATATAATCTTTTTGGGGGATCTTTTGATCTAATTGGTAACAAATGCAAGTGAAAAGTCAGTTCTTTGAGATCTCGTAGTCTATTTAAGGATATGTTTTATACATCTAGGAAAGAAATTGAGTCCACCATAAAGCAAAATACAATGAAGGCAAATTGATATTGCTTTAGCATGTTTTACTGATAAAGACACATAAGTGAAGAAATTATCTAGAGTAGAGTATTGAGCGGAGGGGAGTGGATTTCCAAATGGAGGGCCAACACTGTCACTTAATGTGTGGAGGGTCACGAGCAATAGATGGAGTGAAATGGGAGTGGAGGAGAAGAGAGCATCTCATACCAAGGGAAGGAGGCCAGGGTGAGTCCAGGCTCTAGGAAGTTTCTGGAGGACCTACAGAAGATGGGTAACGGGATGGCACCTGCTTGTAAGTGATTTGTTATATGTGAAATATTATCTGCATTGGTTTTCTGTTTAAATTTTTTATATTTTTTCATTTTTTTAATGTTATAAAACTAAAAAAACTAATTGTAAAAAACCCAAAATCCAAGTGTTACAGAAACCTATGATGTAGACAATGAAATACTCCATAACCCCACTTACAAAGATAACTGCTATTAGCTGATGTTGCTTATTAATAGTAGCATAATTTAGAAACAGATTATATCACTTGGAACGTTGAAATTAAAAAGAGAAGTTTCTCCTATTTTCCTAATTCATCCATGCCTCATACTGGAAACCATGATATAACATCTCATCTAATATTGAGAGAGGCTTTTTGGGTTTTCTCCATCTCACACTTAGTAGGTGAAGCCATTGGAGAGCCCTGGTGTCTGTGAGACAGTGAAATAAATATGCCCTTTACTCATCCCTATCTTTCTTGGTGGAACCATATCCCTGGCAACTGGAAATCAGTATAGTCTAGAGACTGTCAAAGGGGTGACTTCCATGGGTAGCTGGAACAGCCTAGTGGAGGTCATAAGGAAACTTAAGAGACACCATCAGAGCTCTGCACTATACCCCCCAATATATCCAATATTACATTGGTTTGGCAAATCAATTGTATCTTCTACAATGTATTTTTGGGGGCTGTGTTGGGGAGGTTATCTCTAGTATGGAAACGTTGCTCCAAATCTCTGTGTCCCAGAAAGAGCTGAGAAAATAGATATTGTACATCGATAGGGAAGTTTAATGAGCTAGAAGATCATAAACATTTCCATCCCCTTCTGAGCTTTTGAGGATCTAAAGATAGCAAGTTTTGACTTCTCTTAGTAATTTTTAGGGGTTAAGGTAAATCGGATTACCTCTTCCGCTGAACTTGTTTATTCCAAAGGAAAGTAATACCATGTGGTTGCAACCCAACACTTCAAAATTTATGGATGGGAAGTAACATGAGAACCAAACACTGAAAACCTTGGAGCAAACTGAAATTTATCCACTTTCTACCTCACTGGCCTCTCTAAGTCCAAAGTGCTGGATGGTTGCGATAGTTAGAAGACATGAAATAAGGTGGAGAGACTAGTCACTGGTCTGGGTTTCCAAAGAATTTGAGATTAACAGAGTTATGAACTGGAGGTTGAGAAAAACTCCAAATAAGGAGAAGTATATGAAGGGGAAAGGTAGAAACGAATGACTTTCTGAGGTATTCATAATGGAGGAAGCAGCAAGTCCAGACTTCTAGGGTCCTGCCATGGTGAAGAGTATTACTGGAAACATGAGAATGGATCTCGGGGACCTCGATTAGATAAAGAAGGGAGAATGACACAACAGATAGTTACTAAGGGCAGCAGCATAATAGGTTTCCCTGTGGAGTTTTAGCAATGAAATAGAATCTCATCTGGTTGAGTCTGGGATGATGGTGGAAAGAATGTGCTGGATAATGAAAGGGATAAGCTTCCTTGTATAGGGCTTCACAGTTTTTAAGACTTACATTTTTATTTTAATTTTTCCCACTTTATTGAAGTTTATTTTTTTTCTTTTCAAATTTTTATTTAAATTCTAGTTAGGTAACATAAGACTTACATTTTTAAAGCTGACCTGATCTCATTTGATCCTCACTAAAGCTCAGGCAGGTAGGCAGGGCCAGAATTACGTCACTAGGGAGGAAATCTAAAGACAAAGGGTTAAGTTCCATTTGGGAGGGGAGACAGAGAGGAAGGAAGGCAGACCTCAGAGGGTTTTGAAGTTCAGAGGGAAGTAAGTATTTTTTTTTTTTTTTTTAAGGAAACATTTGTTCCTTTCCAGGTACACTTGATTACTCACTGTTAAGTAGGCGGAAGTCAATGAATGGGTAGGAGCCACGGCGTTCAGCAGGAGCCCCCGTCTGACCCCTTAGTCGTACATCTCCTGAAAAACAGAAAATCCAAACAAATGTTTGAAAACATTGCCAAGTATATTCACTTTTCCACTTATGTCACTGGAACCAACACCAAATGTCAGGAGGAAAATGATTTCCATTCACCTTGCATAATAAAGAGCTATGTGAGAAGGGATATTTAATGAATGCTGAGTGTAATGAACTTGGCAATACTCTAACGAGCGAAGCAGCACTCTGCTCCCTTTTAGATCTGCCTGGAAGATGGATCTGTGAAAATCATAGGAATTTACAAAATGTCCATTGTCTGAGGGCCACAAAGATGAGGCATCTGAATTGGGAAGGATGAATGGTGTTCTGGGATTATAGCTTTTATTCTTATTAACATGTTTAATTGCCCACTGTTATTCTCTTGGTTCCAGCACAGTTGCCTTCTGACTGGTGACTACCATCCTGTTGCCCAGGCAGTATCATGGATCTGCTTTAGAACCCGCTCAGTGAAGGCCCATCCCGCTCCAGGTAGTTTGGATACTTCGCCTCCCTTGGACATAACAGTTGCTAGGGTTTGTAGAACTTATTTTTTTGTAGGTTTTCTTTAATGTCTGCATTCACTTTCCTTTGTGATGTGTCTTCTGCCTTCCCGATCAAGGGCACTGACTTTAGAACGAAACAGACTCGGGGTCAATCTCAGCTCAGACATCTGTTACCTGTACGATCTTGGGAAATTTATTTCTCTTAGCTGCAGTTGCCTCCTTTTAAAGTGTCATTGGTTGAAGAATCTAAAATAACACTTGCTGTCTTGCCATAAATGCTGGGTTTACTTCTTTCTCAACTCCTGAAAAGCAAGGACCCTGCATATTATGTGTTTTGCACTTTTCCATACAGCTTTGTATATTGTATGGCATATAGCAGACTCTAAGTGAATGTCTTCTGTTGACAAGAATAAATGTAAAGACAAAATTTGCCAACTAATACATAAAGTGTGGAATTAGAGGAGAGGTAAAAATACAAGAGATCTACTATATTTCTGGAAGAACTGAATCAGGGAAAATTTCAGTTCCATGAGTAATGGGTCCACTCCCATAAACTACTCTTTCCCAGACGTGAGGCAGCAGCAGGCCTTAGCCTATGAGTAGAGAGGAGGGACAATCTTCTCTCTACCATTCCCACCTCCTGTAGTCAACCAGTGCCTGGGTGAGATCCCCTTCAGCTGTAACCCACACCGTTGGCAATGTTTAAAATACCCCTTACAAATAGATGGGCTTACCAACTGCAAGCTGTGAGCTTCTGGACTATTCTGTGCTTTGAATTTTATATTGGTACCTTATTTAATGCTTTATATCATCTGATATTATAGTGCCATACTGATATTAAGGAATGTTACAGTTTACTGAATAAAGCAAAGTGGGAGGAGGAGGAAAGAGATGGAAAAGTACTTTTATAAATATGAATATCATCTGACATCAAAGAAAGGAATGCTGTTAGCATTTGGCATGCTCCTGGAGTGGATGGCCAGCAGTTATAAGAAAGCCACTGGGGAGAGTTGAAGGGTTTTCCTGTCTTCAGCAGCTTGTCTTGAACACCCCATGTTTATAACACTTTGGAAAGTTTACAAAGCACTTTCACAAACATCACAGTATATTTATTTTCTTCTTCATCTCATTGGATCCTCACAATAGTCTTGTGAAGAGAATCACTATTATTATCCTTACCGTATAGGTGAGAAAAGGAGGCTCAGGGAAAAAAAAAAAAAACAAAGGGCTGCTGTTCACCTACCCAGTCCCAGCTCAGAGCTCAGGCCCTTTAAAGGCACTCAGTATGGACGTCTGGATGGCTCAGTTGGTTAAGCATCCAACTCTTGGTTTCAGCTCAGGTCATGACCTCATGAGTCATGGGACTGGCCCCCAGTTGGTCTCCCCACTCAGTCAGGAGTCTGCTTGATGATTCTCTCCCTCTGACCCTCCCTCTGCTCCCTCTATCTCTCAAATAAATAAATAAATTTTTAAAGGCACTCAATAGATGGTTATTGACTTTAAGTGACTGCCTAAGCTTATGGTTCTTTAAGCTCAGAATTAGCAGGGCTGGTCCTTAAATCTAGGTTACTGAACTTCACAGCAGGGCTCTCCCCTCATGTAACCATTGGTTACTAACCTTAAGGAGAGTACACACCTGGTTTAAAAAAAATCACAGGCCCTCACATGATAGAAGGTGAAATTTAGCAGCCATGGAGAAAATACAGCATGTCAAAATGATATAATAAATTCAGCACTACCTAAATGATTTCTATTTTAGTTTTAGAAGATAGACATATATGTAACAACTTCTGCATGGATGAGACTATATTCATTTGGTCTACAAAGCTGGCTAGGTTTTAGTCTTGTTAATCTGTTGTATCATCCCTGTGGGCTTCTCTGAATGGCTTTGGGCTCATTGATTGGAAATCACTTGTCCCCCAGCATTTTTTTCCCCTCTGTATTAACAAAATATTCCTCCTGACTTTGCAGTTCAGAAGGTACCATTTTCCCAGAAAATGTCTGTGTAATATCAACAGAGGTTTTAAAGCCTTTGCCAAAATGTATTCCATTTGTCCATCTGACAGTCTAAGGCAGAGGATGCCCATTATCTTGTAAGGCTTTAAATTTAGGGAAACATCGAGAAGACAGCACCGCGTGGCAGAGTGGGTAAAGGGAAGGCAAGGCGTGAGTAATTCAGAGACTCCTGTTGCCGAGAGGATCAATATTTCACCCTCTTGGGTGGTTATGCGCAAATCAATAACCACTTGGAGGTCCGGTTTTCTAATATTTAAATTAACTAGCATAATTACAGCAGCTTTGCCCACCTCATAGGTTGTTGTGAGGAAATTACAAGGTGAAAATAGCATGGTGGGTAACAGTTACTAATCCTTACACCAGACTGAGCATTTTACTTGCATTATTGACCATCATCTGCCCAACAACCCAGTGCAGTAGGTGTTATTACACCATTTTGCAGATGAGGAAGCTGGAGCCAGTGGAGATTTGATAATTTGTCTGAGCTGACAGAAATAATAGGTGTGGAGCTTGTGCTCAAAATCAAAATTGGCTCTTAAACCCCACGCTGTTAATCCCTCTCCTGTATTATCAGGGTGAAAAATTGCATGAATAGTTGAGCATTCACTTTTTATTACCCAGTGCATGCTTTGATTGCTATTTGCTGATAAACCAAAGACATATTCATCATGATTCCTGGAACCTAAATGCCAGGGAAATCCACCCCCTTGATGAATTCGAGATTCAATCAGATAGATGTTGTTTATTTGAACAGCAGTCCAGCGGAAATGGGCTGAGCGAGTAAGACAACCAAATCCTGTTCTGGATCAACAAGGCATCTATTATTTTCAAGTAAGAGATGGAAGGCAATTATTAAAAATATTATTCAGTAGAACTGAAATTACCTAGCAACTAATTTAATCAAGCTCTTAATTAAATAGAATTTTCAAGATGTAATGCCGTTTTGGGGAAAAAGAAACCGTGAAGCAAGTTGATAGCAAGGACACCTAAATAAACAAATAGAACAAAACAAATCAACATCAACGACAAGAACCTACAGAACCCATACCTGGAAGGTGCCTTTTCAATGATTATTCTGTCTATAACTACAATTATAGTCCTGGAAGTGGATTACTCATAAACCTAATGATGGTCTTTAGGTTTAGTAAATAATAGTGTTTAAAAAGGATGAAATCACGTTAAAAATACTAGTAAGACAGGAGGCAGGACAATCCTAAGTCGGTAACAAAGCATTTTAGAAAGTTTTCCATGTGAACACTTAAATACAAACAAGCCATACATTCCATATGTTGAGCATTCTATTAACTGGAGACTCTGCTGAGGTAACTTCATGTCTTAAGTATATATTTCTAACGTAGAAGGTTCTCTCCCTTTCTCCCTGCTTTTATGAGCCCCTTCTGATGCTAAATTGCTTCAATATGCTCGTGGGAAGAGAGAAATACTTCAGTAACTCTGGTCCCTGGAGAAGCAGAGGCCACTGGGCTGATGTCCGAAAAACAGAACAAGTGGACTCCTGCTGGACTGCTTTTTCTGGCCTCTGGTCCCAGGCACTCATCTATTTACCTAAGGCCTTATATCCAAGCTAAACAATTATTTTGACTATTCATTAGGCCCTTGTTTAACTTAAGCAACTTTTTTTCTGGCAAGTGAAAGGTGCTATGGAAGCTGGGTCGGAAATGTTGACAGCTCAGAGTCGTGTCCTCAGTCTGTCCTTATTGTGTTCCAGAATGAAACAAACAGCAGGGGAATTCTTATTTTGAAAGGGCTGCTTCTCTTTTGCCCCTTCAAGCCGAAAACATAACATGTCGTCTTCGGGTATTTCAGGCTGCAAACACAGGCAGAGAGCGGAGCTGAGTGGCTCTGGGAGCCAAGACCCGGAGACAGCCACTCACCCTCCCAGGGGACGTGGTTCCGGGACGGACCTCTTGCCCACTTGGCCTCTCGGGCTGTCTCTGCTTCATAAAAGCTTGTGCTAGGGAGCAGACAGACGTTCTGTGGCCTCTTATGTAACTGGCAAAGATGGTGGAGACTCTGGCAGTGGTGACAACGTACAGTGGCTGGAACACGGGCCACATGACGGGAACCAGAGTCTGGCCCCAGTTGTGGGGTCAAGGTCATTTCAGGGTGGAGAAGGTGGGTAGGAAAGGAACAGATCCGTGGCTACTGTGCTCCTGTTGCATCTGAGACGTTGAGGAAGGTCATGATAATAGCTGCAGGAAACACGCGGAGAGTCATCGCAGGGGAGTCACTCTGAGCAAGGAGGATGAGCTGGGGGTCGTGTCAGAAAGCCGCCACTGTGGAGCAGCCCAGACATGGTGGGAGAGCAGAGGCTCTCAAGAAAGGTATTCCTTAGAGCTTCCTTAGACAGTACTCATGCACAGCCCTGCTGTAAACTTGCAAACTTAAGGCAGAGGGAACCCAGACCCCCAAATCACAGCCAGGAGCCTTCACCGGGCTGCACAGCCTCAGCGGGCGGTTTCAGA